TGCTCCAAAGCTGGATACTGATCATCGTCAAGTGGTATAACCACCTTGGCTTTGTGTTTGCCTTTGCCATGGCCTTTTATGGTATTACCACGGCCTTGCCCGTTATTGGGCTGACTCATGAACCCTGTAGAAATTCACGGGTTAAAAAGTCAGGTAAAGAGTTAGAACTATCTTTAATATATTCAATTGAAAAATCAAAAGCAGATAAATCAGCTTACCAACCAGCAAATATCTGTTTGGAAACTATATTCTTAACATCTTTTTCCAGTACTTGTTTAGCAGCACTACAATCAATGCATAACAAGAATTTCTGATTGATCAAATCATCTTGGAATTTATAAATGCATTTAACTAAATAAATAATTTCTTTCTTTATTATAGAATAATTTAATTGAGTATTTTTCTAAGTTCCTGAAGTGAAGTGAATAAGCTCCTTTGTTCCTGTGTCGGGATTCTTTTGCTTAAGAATTCCACCATATCCAATATTGATGCATCTGTTTCAACAATTTTAAACCAAGAAGAATTTGCCAGAGCCAAGCAAGGAATCTGTTTAGCTCGAAGTTTGATCTTCTGGACTGCTTTAGTATACTCCAAAGTCCAAGGGGCGGTGATTTCCGTAGCCTTGTATACAAAATTATTGTATCCTATACAAGATTCTTGTAGTGATTACGAATATAATTTAGACTACCAAGGAATCTTTGAAGTTGAGTCTTGTCTTTAATTTCATTAAGGAATTTAGAGGCAAGCTTAATACTACGGTCAATGGGTCGAATCTTTCCATCACAAATTTCATGGCTTAGAAATTTTACTCGGGTGAGGAAAATTTTTAGTTTAGGGGTAGAAACTGCTAAACCACTTCTGTAAATAACATCTTTGAAAATTTTCAAATGTTTATAATGCTGATCTATTGATTTTGAAAATATTAAAATATCATCAATATAAACAATAGAAAATTCAGTATAAGGGTTAAAAATGTCATTCAAAATATGTTGAAATTCTGAAGGGGCATTTTTAAGTCTAAATGGCATTACTGTCCATTCATATTGTCCAAAAGTACACAAAAAACAGTTTTATACCTGTCTTCTTTTGCAATTTGTACCTGGTAGTATCCTGATTTAAGATCAAATTTTAAAAAAATTACAGCAGATTGTAATTTATCTAACATATCTTTTATGTTTGGGATTGGATATCGAATCCAACTCAAAGCAAGGTTGAGTGGTCGATAATCAATAACTAGACGAGGAACTCCTCGTTCTTTTTCAGAGTTTTTATTTACATAAAAAGTTCTGCAACTCCATGGAGAGTAACTACTTATGACTAGCTTCTTTTCCATTAAGGAGCTAATTCAGTTTTACAGAGTTCCAAGTAGTCAGCCTTCATGCGGCTTGGACTAGCTTTAGAAGGGATCATGAGACCGGTAAATCCTTTTTCATAAGGTAAATAAACAATATGCTTCTTTCGGTCCCAAAAAGCATTAGGGACATCACTTCAGATATTCTTTAAAAAATTTTGTCGTATTGACTCTATTTTCTGTTACTCAGTGGATTGTATCAATCTCTGATTTATTACTAAAGAAGAGACTTCTTTTTGCAAAATAATTCAGTTGTTTTTCCTTAAAGATAATACTATTTTCAAGAGCATTGATATGCTTGTTTACTAGTTTAGTAAAAAATTCAAAAGTTATTGACTGACCCTGTAAAACTGTGCATATTCCATGCGAATCAATTTTTTCAATTGGCATAATGAAGGCTAAAAAGGGAATGCCCAGTATAACCTGTTGTGCCATATTTTTAATAAGTAAAAAGGTAAATGGAAGACAAATACCATGTTTACAGATAAAAACGTGATTAAGTTTATACTTAATCTGCATCTTACCACCGCTTGCACTGGTAAGACCTTGAGTGGTTTTCTCAAAATATTGAGTAGGGACCAATCATTCCTGGATGCAATTCATGTCTGCACCACTGTCAACTAAAGCAACAACATTAGTGATAGTAAATTCCTGATTGATAACCAAGTTAATGGAAATGTACCATTTTTGGTAAGTAACCTGATTCAAAATATTATGATAATCCTTTTCATCAGAGTTGGATAAATCAATCTTGGAAGATGAAGGTTCTGTAGCATGATTAGCTTTTTCTTTTAAAAGCTTGATTTCTAAATCCATATTGGTTTGATGGATTTTTAATTGATGAAGTTTAGCTTTTAAAATGTTAACCTCTATTCTTAAATCTGGAAGATTTGCTGGACAAGAGGTTTGGCTTTGATGTTTTAATCTGTTTAGAACTTCTTTCATGTTGTAATGATTCTCAGATCTTAGCAAGTCTGGATTATCATTTTCTTCCTTAGGTTGTGTAATGGCATAACCTATTTCAAAGATTTTCATTTTGATTTGAGAATCTTGAACCTGATCTATAAGATCCAATAAAGATTATTGATGAGCAGTTAAAACATTTAAACTGAGCCCATTCATTTCAACAATAGCTTATAGTAATCATGTGAAGGATTACAAGAACATTCTGGATTCATGTCTTCTGCTTCAGAGGAAGAAGATGACTGTAATTCCAGACTATGTCCTCTGATTCAGATGAGCCATTTTCTGAAGAATATTAAGCAACAATTTGCTTAATTGGGGTTTTAGCTCTTCATTAATTTGCAGACTACTAAGTTTCTCCTTAGTTCTACACTTGTTGGCATAGTGGCCTATATGTCCACATTTGAAACACTTAGCCTCTGCCTTGGGTTTTCCTTTACCCTTTACTTTAGGAAAATATTTCTTTTTAGGCTTAGTGTACTGTTTGGAATCATCATTTTTTTTTTTTGATAATTCTTTCTTTTGGAGTACTTCCTTTTATAAGGCTTTTCAACCTTATGTCTTTTCCTATTAGTAGGATAAGATAAAGGAGTCTGATAGGCAAATTGATCACAAAATTAGCCTACCTATTTTTTACCAGTTAATCGCTGAGCTTTTAACTGGGACTGTAACTTTAAATCATTACAGAGGGCTATACCTTCTTGGATTACAATGTTTACTAATCCACCATAGATATAGTTTCTATAAGGGATAGAGATACAATTATTCATATCTCCTAACTTCTTCCTTATTTTTTTTTTTGCAAAGAAAGTAGGAAGGCCATCCACAAATTTTGCTTTCCAGTGTTCATGGTTAGCATTACTGAGTTGTAAAACTTTGGCTAAGAATACATCTTTATACCATCTGAAGTGGGTCAGTGATGGACATCTTAGATTCTGTAACAACTCTCTACTTCGTTCGCTATTAGCCCCTTCTGGACCAACAAAATGTTGAACAATAGTAGTGATAAGAGTATAAACTGCATCAGGTGTCGGTCCCTTTTGCTGAGTATTTTCATCTTTGATAATCTTGACTGCTGAAAATATCTCATTTTTCTAAACATCTGTGAGAACATTATCATACCATCCTTTAAGGATTCCTGTAAAACCAACAACAATAAATTTAGTAATTGTTGGGTCAGTGTTCTGATTGATTTTGCAAACTTGACTATACATCAACATTTGATGTATGACCTCATAAATCTGATAATAAGATTTGCCATCTATGTTTAGGGATGGCAATTTGACCCGTCTTCGCGGTTACCCGCCCCACCCGCCCCGTTTTTGGCCGTTTTGCTTATTTGGGCGGGAATGGTTTGATGCAAAAAAAACCCGCGCGAATTTAGTGCGGGGGCGGGGGGAGGTCGCCTCGCACCTCCCCGCCCCGCCCCGTTTAGATAGGCAAATTACTTAAGTACCTTTATTTCATTAGTATACATATTTCCCACTATATATTAAATACCCTATATAACAATATTAAAGTAACAAATGAATTTTATTAAAAGAAAAGTTGTAATAGTGAAGAATTGAAGATAAGGAAAAAAAAAAAGAGCAAATCCATTTCAACAATAATTAAATTATGGACTTAAACGGGGCGGGACGGGTAGGTACCCGAGGGAGTAAAAATGTTAAACAGTTACGAGGATGGGGTGGGAAGTTCCCCCATTTTTGCAGTTTTGGGCAGGGACGGGAACAGGGTTTTTAAACGGTTGCGGGAGCGGGGGAGGGTACACCCGCCCAAACCCGCCTCCGTTGCCATCCCTATCTATGTTCCACTCGTAAATGATTTTTACATGAAAAGATTTCTGTGTATGAAAATATTCTTCATTCCGTATTCATTTTTCCATTTATTATAAAATCACCCTACTTTATCAAGTATCTCAAAAGTGTTTATTTGCCTTTTGAGGCCATAATCCTTAAACCTTGTAGATATTGTTCCGAGATGGTAAAATAGGTCAGAAACCATCAACTCGCCCATATTTGCCCGCTTTTTTAATGGTTATGGGTGAACCATATTTAAGATGAGTCAAAAATGGGTTGAGTAATTTTTAACCACTTAATTTAAGGGTAAAAAATGAGTTGTGTAATTTTACTCATATTCAACCCATATTTCACTCATCACATAGACACACAACACACATCTATTCTATATTACACTCAACTCATTTCTCTCTCTCACGAAGGGCTGCAAGTTGGGCTAGCCGAACCCAGCCCAGTCCCAGCCTATATTTTGGGCAGGTCATACGGGTTTCACGGGTTTTATTTCTATTTATTTATTTTTTAACAAATATACAAATTACATTTTCCTTTTTCATGGTAAACATCAATTTTTTTAAGAAATTTTTATTTTTTAAACATCAAAATTTTGGACCCATCTTAAATAATTCAATTTTTATTTTGTAAAAGTAATTCACAAAATAACTTCTTTATGTAATTTCCATACTTTTTTGCCAGCTTTGGAAAGATCTGGTAACACACAATGCACAATTATGTTTGTAGGAAGATTAGGCCCAAGAGAAAATGGGCAATGATGTCACGCATAAACCTGTACACCAATAGGTAAGTACGGTCCAAAACTAAGTAAATTCTCTCAAATGCTAATTTTTCCAAGACACTTTTCATAAGTAAATCTTCATGGATTTGAAATATGAGAAAAGGCAAAGCAAACAAGAACGCAAATCTGCGTTATATAACCTTAAATTGAAATTATTAAAAAAATCTAAGAACATATACTCAGATAAAGATGATCAAAACTAAAAGAGTAACGCCACGGCAAGCTTAAGAAAAGAACAAGCAAAATTCCTACATGCTGAGTTTGATGGGTATGCCAAAGCAACATTAGCTACACAACACCTGTGTTATATACCTGAAACTTCATTACCGTCTAGTGGTTTTCCCGATGGAGCGCTTTCCAGAGAACAAGTGTTTTGGTTTCATAGAAGGAATGACTCTATCTGCCTCTCCCCGCCTAGCATCCTTGTTCCTCTTCCTGACAGATTTCTTAGCCAGTTTTAGAGCTTTCAGCTTTTGAGCAGAGTCCTTGAAGCCCTCTCCCGGGACAACCTCACCCCGTGACCTTGATTGTGATGTAGACCTCATCTGCAGCTTCTTGGCGGGTTGTTCAACATCCACATCCATGGCCTCTCCACGATCAAGTGATATCTTCCTCTTACGACCCCTGGACTTGCTGCAGGCTCGATTAATTCCCAAAGTTGGATCAAGCCCCAATGTTGATAATTGCCTTCCCATTCTCTCTGATGTGAACTTCCTATCTTTATCAAATTTTCTTGGTACAATGGGTTGGTTCTCTGCAGTGCTTTTCTTTATCCTATGTTGTTGAATAAGCAAGCTTTTCTTTTTCCTAATCTCAGCTAGTGCTTCTTCCTCTTCCGGGGTCAATTCTGTGCCATCCATCTCAACATCAACATCTGCCTCCTGCTGAAGACATTCTTCTTGCTCCAACTCCTCCAGCCTCTGTAAGATATCAGGATCACTGAAGTCGTAAACATTGTGCCCATCAAGAATTTCTGGGATTCCGTCTTTTTTCCATTCATGGTTCGCTAATATATAATGCTTCCTCCAGTCAGCAGAGTATACACCAGCCCCACCATTTTCAATCTCAAAATCCTTTTCGAGTTTCCTCTCCTCCTTCTCTGCTGCTTCCTTAGTTCTCACTTCGAATACTGCCTGTGGTATACATGGCGGCCTTTCTTTCTGGTCACGTGGCTTCGGCATTGCAACATGAAAGCGATTGAGACAGCTATTTATCCTCTTAGACTTCATCTTCATTTCCACTCTTTGATTCAATAACCTTTCACAAGCTGCGTTCTTTACAGCAATTATCCCCTCCTCCGTCAAATTGCTCATCGTCAAGAGAACTCCCTCATCATTTGTAGGCTCCCCTCCTTGACCCATCACAGTCTTCAAAGCTTCAGATTTCATTTCCACGACCAACTTCATGTCTTCCTCAGAAATCCCATCCAACGGCTGCAAATCCGTTTTGTTGCAAACTATAATCAACGGTTTGTTCATAAATAGCGATTTGATGCTACGAAAAAGAGCTGCCTGCTGCGCAATGCTGTACCCACATGACCCGGAAATGTCCAAGAAGAACAACACAACAGCCCTTAGATGTGCTAGAGCTGTGATGCTGCACATCTCAATGACATTACGATCCTCAAGTGGCCTATCGAGAATCCCCGGTGTGTCAATCACTTGGTACCTTAGGTACTTATACTCTGTATGGCCAACAAACAATGACCTAGTGGTGAAAGCATAGGGCTGAACATCCACATCTGTTCTGGTGATCTTGTTCATGAATGAGCTCTTCCCAACATTTGGGTACCCACAAATCAAGACTGTCCGCGTATTCGGATCAATTGAAGGTAGCCTAGCCATGTGTTTCCTAATCTCTTCAAGATAAGCCAAACTAGGGCCAATGCGCTTGATCACAGTACACATGCGGCCAAGAGCAGCAACCTTAAGGGATTTGCATCGATAAAGAGAGTCACCATACTTCAATAACTTCTGATACTCCTTTGCAATCTTATCGATTAAATTCCTAGCAGTATTGATTTGGCCAAGGGCTAGCTTGTAATGGTCTTTGTTGTAGAGAACATGAAAGAGGTCACCATAGAATGGGTGGACATCCTCAAGCTGAGGGAATTCTTCGATTATGGTGGAAAGCTTGTCGTGAAAATTCTGCTGCGTGGCTTTCACTTTCCGGTTGTAGAATTTACGAACGCTGGAGATGGCAGAGCCCTTGTGAATGACAGTCGGTGTTTGGCGTTGGGTGCGGGAGAGGATGATATCAATAAAGTCATTCCCTTTGGGAATGACTGTAATTTTCTTGAAGTTATACTGCACCATAACTTAAATTGTGTTTCTCTGCAACACAAACATGCAAAAAGATCAGGATCGCAAGAAAATAATAGAAATCGTAGCAGAATTATAAATAAAAGTGCAGAAGAAAATAAGTATATATAAAGTTCATATAATTATCCTACAAGAATTATACACACACTCACAAGTAAGTCTACACAGACAGAATTATTACACATGTATATAAGTCTACAAGCATTGATATAAAGTCTCTCTCTATATATGTATAGAAGATAATAAGACTCTATAAACAAGAATACACATTATATATTACTTATCGAAAAAAGAATACACATTATATATAAAACGTATATAAGCAGAATCACAACAATCTTTTTCATCACTAACAGCTGGTTCATGTCAAGATAAGTATTGTGGGGATAAAATGAAAATGAGACAAGTATTAATCCATTCCAAATAATAATACTCAAATGGAAGTAGAAGAGAAATAAAATAAAATAAATATTGTTCATTAAAATGCTCTATCTGAATTCAGATTTTTCAGTGTATAATATACAATGTCCAGATAAAGAAATATACTCATTAGCACACTAAAGAATGTGACTAATGTCGAGAATCGCTGAAAACCTACATTCAATGGCAAATCCATGGCCATTCACCCAGTGGGCCCTTTACCGAGAAGAAGTGTTACTTGGCTGATAGGGGGCATAGGGAGGTATTTTGGGAGGTCATTTTGATGCACAAACTGTCAGAATATTCTCATCACAATAATTGGTTGATTCACAATTCCAACGACTGGATTTCAGTTCTAATTTTTTAGAATTAGTTGAGATCGGTTTAATTCTAATTTACCATGTACCCCTAGCCAGAAACATTACAATCAAGCTAACAACATAAACAACCAAGCACCCAAAAAAGCCAAAAGAACAAATCATCAACATTCATCACAACCAAAATAAACTCATTATTACTAAAAAAAATAATATATTTAATAAACTATAAAACTTCCCAAAAAAAAATTATTACTGATTACAACCAGTATCAACATAAACAACCAAGCACCAAAAAAAGCGGGAGAGAGAACAAACCAGAACGGTAGAACCGACAGTGGGGGTGAGAACTCAGTGTGACAATGCTCCTTGGAATTGAAACCGGAGAGAATTACTTATAATTCTAAGTCGTCGATTAGGGTTAGCGACTTAATAGTCTTTTTTATATATATCTTTATTTTAGATATATATATATATATATATTAGTTAGGGGTGAAATTAAATCGTGAGTTGTTTCTTTGTCTATATCTATTATTAAAAGTGTAAACAGTTTTGTTATTTATTTATTAGTATATAAAAAAATATTTATTAATCAATATAAAATAAATTAAAATAAAAGAGTTTTTGACTAGGACCCTACAGCTAGCCTTTTACCTCGATTCCAAGATCGGTGTTGTGGAACCTTGACGCATAAAAGCTCAATAAAACCTAAATAGAAGAAGATTTCTTCCCGTATGCTTCCTCTTCTTTCTTTTAAAACAAAGAGAAATTGGAACGCGGGCTTACCCATACGCATCAGACTTCGTCCTTGTTGTGACGTGCCTTTAGCCGATCGAGTGAAGAGGTAGGACAGGTGAACTGAGGCGCAACTTTGTTTTTAGCGAAAGTCTGATGCACAACGTTCCCGTGGTTTTGACCCATGTTTCCATCCAATTACACTTTCACAGGAAAAAAAACCTCAAGTTGAGAAAAAGCTTATCATACTAAGAAGTTCACTATTTCATTATTTATTTATTAATATAAAATAAAATAAAAGAGTTTTAAATTATTATTAAAACAAAATAATAAAATAAAATAAGTAATCATTTAATAAAATAATTTATCAATTAAAATTAAATAAAAATTATTTAATTAAAATTCTATCAAGATGTTTTAAATCATTAAATAAATTCAATTTAATAAAATAATTTATCAAATAATAAAATAAATTATCAGTTAAAATTAAATAGGTATTTGTTTAATTGAAATTCAATCAAGAAGTTTCAAATCATAGTTAAAACAACTAAAACAAGTTACGTACTAAACAAAATAGATAATTATTTAATAAAATAATTTACAAAATAATAAAATAAATTATCAATTAAAATTAAAAAGGTAATTGTTTAATTGAAATTCAATCAAGATGTTTCAAATCATTAAATAAATTACCAATTAAAATTAAATATGTAATTATTTATTAGAAATTCAATCATGATGTTTAAAATCATATATAGATTAAATAATAAAATAATTTATCAAATAATAAAATAAGTTACCAATTAAAATAATTCCTATAAGTTACCAATTAAAATAAATCCTATTATGTTCGGAATTCTTTCAAGTTAAAACAACTTTACTTTTTCTATTTTATTCTATTTATAATTCTTTCCTAAATATAAATATAGATCTAAATCTTTCCAAATAATAAAATATATTACCAATTAAAATTAGTTAATTGTTTAACTAAAAATTTTATTTAATGATTTGAAACATCTTCATAAAATAAATGACAATTAATAAATTACCAATCAAGACGTTTCAAATCATTTACAAATAAAATAATAAAATAAATCCTATAAGTTACCAATTAAAATAAAAAAGCTATGTATTAAAATAAAATAGGTAATTATTTAATATAATAATTTATCAAATAATAAAATAAATTACTAACAAGTTACATATTAAAATAAACTAAAATAAATTATCAAATAATAAAATAAATTACCAATTAAAATTAAATAAGTAATTGTTTAATTGAAATTCAATCAAGATGTTTCAAATCATTTATAGAAAAAATAATAAAATAATTTACCAAATAATAAAATAAGTTACCAATTAAAAAAATTATTATACTAAATTACAGGTTAAAATTAAATTGGTAATTGTTTAATTGAAATTCAATTTAATTAAATAATTTACCAAGTAATAAAATAAATTAACAATTAAAATTAAATAGGTAATTGTTTAACTGAAATTTAATCAAGATGTTTCAAATCATTATTAAAACAACTAAAACAAGTTACGTGTCAAAATAAAATAGGTAATTATTTACTAAAATAATTAATGAAATAATAAAATAAATTAGCAATTAAAATTAAAGAGGTAATTGTTTAATTGAAATTCAATCAAAATGTTTCAAATCATTAAATAAATTACCAATTAAAATTAAATAAGTAATTGTTTATTTGAAATTCAATCAAGAAAAAAATTACCAATTAAAATTAAGTAGGTAATTGTTTAATTAAAATTCAGTGAATGTGTTTTAAATTGTTTATAGATAAAATAATAAAATAATTTACCAAATAATAAAATAAGTTATAAATTAAAATAAATCCTATAAGTTACCAATTAAAACAAATCATATTATGATCGGAATTCTTCAAGGTTAAAAGAACTATACTTTTTCTATTTTATTCTATTTCTAACTCTTTCTTAAATATAAATGTAGATCTAAATCTTTCCAAATAATAAAATAAATTACCAATTAAAATTAGTAATTGTTTAATTGAAAGATTTATTTAATGATTTGAAACATCTTGATAAAATATATGACGATTAATAAATTATCTATCAAGATGTTTCAAATTATTTATAGATAAAATAATAAACTAATTTACCAAATAATAAAATAAGTTACCAATTAAAATAAATCCGATAAATTGCCAATTAAAATAAAAAGTTTCGTATTTAATAAAATAGGTAATTATCTAATAAAATAATTCACCAAATAATAAAATAAATTACCAATTAAAATAAAATATGTAATTGTTTAATTGAAATTCAATCAAAATGTTTCAAATATTGTAATGTTTTTGATTTTTCCTATTTTTTATTTTTCAGAATTTTTTCGATTTTTTTCTGGATTATTTTCGTTTTCGCCTCGTTTTGCTTGCGGGACACCGTGGGATGTGTCGGATGAGTTCCGAGAGTTGGTTGAGACATTTCTTCGAGTTCGGGACTCTTGACAATGCATCGTTTGTCATTTTAACATTTTTTAATTTTTCGGGCAAGGAGATCCCGGACGGGATCCGTAACCGAGTTTATTGTGCATGGGGATTATTTTTCAGAGACATTACACTTCATACATCATTATTGCATGCATAATTATGTGGTTATGTGGTTAGATGTGTATCGTATCATGTGTATGTGTACATATGTTTATATTAAAGGCAAAGTAGATATTTTTGACCACATGGGGTCCGCGTTGACTAAGCTTATATTTATATCACCATATACATCATTTCTAGCCATTTCTTTTCTTCGTAACCGTGATTTACTTTCCCTCTCTACACCAAGCTTTCGATGAGAGCTTCGCATTGATCGAAGCCGATTTTCAATTTGGCAACTTTGGGATTTTGAGATTTGGGGCTGATTTGGGGTTTTTTTTTTTATTTTGCTTTTCTATTTTGGTAGGGGTTCTCCTAATACTTCGAACTTTATCTTTTATTGAACAATTCTATCATTTTCTCCCTTAAATTTGAGATTTAAAAACTATGAAGTGAAATTGTTGTTATGTGCATGTTAATAATGTGTTTAAGTGTTTAAAGCATGATTTGTCCTTATTTATGTGTCAAAAGCATGATGTTGGATTGCATATGATTTTATATTAAGCATGCTTATAGTTGATCTTTGTAAAATGCCTTGCTGGAAATTATATTGTGAAGAATGTTATTGTTGTATCAAATTTAATGTCATATTTATATCACTATTGTTATATAAATGAAAATGATGCATTTGCATCATATGGCGGAAAAAGGAAGTATAGAAATGGTGGAAATAAAGTTTTTCATAAAATGAACGGATTTCATGAGTTCGGTACTAACTTGACCTAGAGAGAGCGCGACTCGGTGTATGGCGTGAAAAAGTTAATACTAGACCCCAAATTGTTGCCGGATTTGGAATTAGGGATAGTTATCAATCTCGCATCAGTAAAGTCGGTTAACGATTTTCAAAAGTGTGAGTTGGGTCGGTAGAGACCAAGCACGGGGTTATGGTGCATCACATTTCATAGCATACACGGTATTCATTTAAATGTATTGTGTGTGTTAAATATAAAAAAGAGAACTCTGTATATTGTATTGATGGGTATGAGATGAAGATACAAGAGGGGTTTATATAGGAGGAGTTATGTGTGATAAACAAATAAACTCTATATGTATATGGTAACTATATATATAGTGTGATACCCCCTGATTTCGGAACACGGGTTGATCAAGTCTGCACACAAAATCAGGGGATATTAAAACAATTAAAGTATTTAAACAAGTACAAAGTACAAAAAGAAATAAAGAATAAAATAATACGCTGAAGAAAACTAATAAATAAATATTTCCATTAATAACTCGCCAATGGTTACAACTAGGGAATCCCGTAACTCAAGGACCCCTTAACCAAAATCCACTATCCATAAATTCATTAATAATTACTGAAGTAATAATATCATACTTTGAGATAAAAATAGAAAGAATAGATAAGTCCTCCAGCTGAGGATCCTCAATCTTGATACTTGAACTTCTAATAACCTGAAAAATAAATCGTGGGTTAAACCCTACGAGCAAGTTCTCTCTACCAAACCTCTGAAAACCAATAAGTTGATCATCTCTGATCAAAACCAAACCTAATAAAGTTTTAGCCTTAATATACCATGATATACATATATATATATATATATATATATATATATATATATATACATAATTATATACAGTATAACAATAACATCTATAACTAGGTACATTAATTCCAAAACCATTATCAATGATTAAATAATAATCATACATAGTCCATTCCATAATTTTTTTTTTTTTTAAAGAAACTTCTCTAACCTTAATTCCATCATAGACATCAATGTGATAATTTAAACAATAAAATATAATTAAAACAACATTATATTTAATTCCAAAACCAATAATGATTTTAAGTATTTAAATCACACCGCCAATATTTAGGCTTTGACAAATCATCCATGTCACCTCCAGTATCCAACTTATACATACAATAACCATATATGATATATTTTAATCATCTAACACATAGTAATATAATTACACTTTGACAAATCAACCACGCCATTATAAATATATTTATTTATATATTGGTAATTCAACCATGCATCCTTTAAGTATATTTATTTATACATTAGCAATTCAACCATGCCTCCACAAGTATATTTATTTATACATTGGCAATTCAACCATGCCTCTACAAGTTTATATATATTTATACTAATAAACTAGCAACTCATCCATGCTTTCTATGTATGTATTTTATTCATACAAACACTTAGGCAATATATTTACGCTTATAGCAACTCATCCATGTACAAATTGTAGGCTCAGCGATAACTAATTTATACATAGATATCTCATGCA